ATTCCTCCTTCAATTGATAGTATTTGTGGATAAATTATGCGTTAGTTTTTCATCAAGTAGAAAAAGAAGACCGCTGTGCTTCAATTTGTAAACATATCGAAGTACTTCCAATTTTTAAGGTGAGTAAATGTTTTTGTATTTTACATCACTTAAAAATTAAATTTGCTTTAACTTTACTTATATTTAATGCACTGAAATTTTGAAGCATATTATTAATGTATATTTAAAATAATTTTTAAGTACAATTAAAATATGTCAATCTATGTTTATGTTATGATGATTGTTTTTGCTTATGTAAATATAAGCATTTTTCTTTTATGTTATTTACTGATTTATTGGAGCATACATTATTGAGTTGCTTAAATTAAGTAATTATATTTGTGTTTTGCTATTAAAACATCTAATTTGTAATAATCATGACCTTATATGCTAAAAAAATTGCAACGCAATTTATATATAACTGGTATGTTATGATTCAGTTAAATAGCTGAATAATTCTAGATATAATAATATAAGAGTGGAAAAATAAAAATTATTTTTATATAATTTTATAGTATAGTAAATATATAAATAAATAAACTATACAAAATATAAAATTAAATTAAACAATATAAAATTACCAGGATATGGTTCAAAGATTGAAGAATCTGGCTTTATATATGTTTTTGGTGGAGAGATATTGTAAATTATTGTATTGCTACTTAAAATTATTAAAAAACTTGAAATCAGTTTTCATGTATGTATATGCTATAGAATAAATTTGGAATGTCTTTGCATAATATTAAGGTTAATGTCAAATTGGTAAATAGCATAGCAAATACAAAAATATACTAACAGTACAAAATTGATATACAGTTTTGTTATTTACGAATAATATTTATTATATGTTTTCAATGAAGACATATTAAAAAATTATTGAATTGCTACTTAATATTATAGATATGAACATGAAATCAGTTTTTATGTATTTATATGCTGTAGCTTAAATTTGTTATGCTGTTGCATAATATTAAGGTTAATGTCAAATTGGTAAATAGCATAGTAAATTTAAAATAAACAAACAAACAGCACAAAATTGACATAATGCCATTACAGTATAAGTATATTTAAGAATAAGACTTATTCTATGTTTGCGATGAAGAGATATTAAGAAATCATTGCATTGCTGTTTAATAATATATATATGAACATGAAATGAATTTTTATGTATTTATATATTGTAGAATAAGTTTGTTATGTTGTTGCATAATATTAGGGTGAATTTAAAATTGGTAAATAGCATAGTAAATTAAAAATTCAACAAACAATACAAAATTAACATAATACCATGATACAGTTTAAATATTTAGGGATAAAACTTATTCTATGTTTTCGATGAAGATATATTAAGAAATCATTGCATTGCTGTTTAATATTATATATGTGAACATGAAATCAATTTTTATGTATTTATATGCTGTTGAATAAATTTGTTATGCTGTTGCATAATATTAGGATTAATGTCGAATTGGTAAATAGCATAGCATAGTTAATTAAAAAGTAAACAAACAATACAAAATTAACACAATACTATGATACAGTTTAAGAATAAGACTTATTCTATGTTTTCGATGAAGACATATTAAAAGATCTATTGCTATTTAATATTATACATATATGAACATGAAATTGGTTTTTATGTATTTATATGCTGTAGATTCTTCACTCTTATTTCTCTTCTCTCTATTCACCCTTCTCTTATTTCTTAACTCATTCAAAATTGTTTTATATCAAAATTTGGCAAAAATTTTTGGAATGTTATTTGGCACTTCTTTACTAAAGTTTTCTATGATGGCTCAAATTGATATTCTTATATATTTAAAATATAAATACTGTTACTGTTTAATAAATTATAGTTTTTGTTTGTTATAAAAGTTTTTTAATTTTTTTTTTAGGATGCCAAGGCGTTGCAGTGTGCCAGGTTGTCGTTCCAATTACAAGGGTGAATGCTATACAAATGTTTTTAGTTTTTCAAAGGATGAAGAGCGAAGATTACAATGGGAAAAACAAATACATCGTGCTGATTTCAAAGCGACAAATTCTTCAGTTGTTTGTATCAAGTAATTTGAAGAGAGATTTATTATAAGAAATCATGAAGCTACGAGAGATGATGGAACATTGCTTGTTATTCCTCGTAAAAGTCCCATTTTAACAAAAGAGGCATATCCTACTGTTTTTGAAGGTCAGCCATCTTACTTATCAACAAAATTGCCTGTAAAGCGGAAAACTCCTGAGGAGAGACAAAATGAACTACTTCAACAGGATGAGAAAAAACTTGAAGAAGGGTGCTTGCAGGATAAGATAGTTGATTTCAACGAATTCAAGAACAAAATAAGAGATAAAGTGCCACAGGACTGGATGCTAATTCCAGATTGTGAAATTTTTCAAGGAAAAGTCGACTTGTCTGAAGCCCCTAGTTTCAGTGTATCTCTGAAGATCTCTTCTAATTTTGTGGTTGCAGTTTGGAAAAACAACTTACCTCTACCAAAATCTAAGCTAAATTGGCTTCTCGGTTCTGAGTTGAAATGTGATTTGTGGTCCAAGTATGATTCCTTGATTAGCTTTCTGAATGGCTTAGAGAATGAACTCAATGTAGACATAAAACTACATAGTATACTGAAAGCATTTACTGAAGTATTAGAAGAGTGTGAAGATGCCTCTAATAAAGAAACTCTTCTATTCCTTCGAGATCAACTGGATTTATGTTTGAAGTCCTCCCCTCGTTATCAGCCACATATTCTTTTATGGGCTGCTCAATTTTATTTTAGTCATCCTGCGGCATATAAGGTTGTGCGTAATAGTTCAAAACTTGTTTTACCTCATCCTCATTATCTAAAGACTTTAATACAGAACCTTGGTCCATTGGAAAGTGGAGTTCAAAATTCTCATATCAAATATTTAGAACAAAAATGTTTGCTGCTTTCTGATAGGGAAAAAATTGTAATTTTAATGATGGATGAAATTTATGTTATACCTGGTGCTACTTATGAAGGCGGGAAAATTGATGGATTGGCCACCAATGTAGATAATGCCGAAGCATCAACTCTCCAAGCATTTCTAATTTCCTCTGTATTTACAAAAAATAAAGATGTTGTTGGTTTGTATCCCATCAAAAATCGAAATGCAGACCAGCTTTTTGATGCCTTAAGGTGACACAGGGCTATTATTTTTAACTTTTTTATTTTTTGTCCAAAAGTGTTGAATTTTTCAGAGATGTTCTGTTTTTTAATGCGAAAATCATATATTAAATTTCATATTTCTACTGTTAAAATTTAAAAAGTTATAAAATTTTAAATTATTAAAAATTTTAACTTTTTAAACTATTCCACGCGCCTCAAATTTGAAATAATTAACTAAACTATAGTTTTAATTTACTCTCTAGACCATTTTCAGAAAATTGTTGGGAATAATTATTTGAATTTTGCATTAAAATTTTTAAAAATTAAAAAAAATCTATAATATATCTGTTTTNGTTGTTGCATAATATTAGGGTGAATTTAAAATTGGTAAATAGCATAGTAAATTAAAAATTCAACAAACAATACAAAATTAACATAATACCATGATACAGTTTAAATATTTAAGGATATAACTTATTCTATGTTTTCGATGAAGATATATTAAGAAATCATTGCATTGCTGTTTAATATGATATGATATATGAACATGAAATCAATTTTTATGTATTTATATGCTGTTGCATAATATTAGGATTAATGTCGAATTGGTAAATAGCATAGCATAGTTAATTAAAAAGTAAACAAACAATACAAAATTAACACAATACTATGATACAGTTTAAGAATAAGACTTATTCTATGTTTTCGATGAAGACATATTAAAAGATCTATTGCTATTTCATATTATACATATATGAACATGAAATTGGTTTTTATGTATTTATATGCTGTAGATTCTACACTCTTATTTCTCTTCTCTCTATAAACTCTTCTCTTATTTCTTAACTCATTCAAAATTGTTTTATATCAAAATTTGGCAAAAATTTTTGCGTTATTCTTATAACTCGTAATAACATTCTTAAATTCAAAATTGCAAATGTTTTTGGAATGTTATTTGGCACTTCTTTACTAATGTTTTCTATGATGGCTCAAATTGATATTCTTATATATTTAAAATATAAATACTGTTACTGTTTAATAAATTATAGTTTTTGTTTGTTATAAAAGTTTTTAAATTTTTTTTTTTTTACAATGCCAAGGCGTTGCAGTGTGCCAGGTTGTCGTTCCAATTACAAGGGTGAATGCTATACAAATGTTTTTAGTTTTTCAAAGGATGAAGAGCGAAGATTACAATGGGAAAAACAAATACATCGTGCTGATTTCAAAGCGACAGATTCTTCAGTTGTTTGTATCAAGTAATTTGAAGAGAGATTTATTATAAGAAATCATGAAGCTACGAGAGATGATGGAACATTGCTTGTTACTCCTCGTAAAAGTCCCATTTTAACAAAAAAGGCATATCCTACTGTTTTTGAAGGTCAGCCATCTTACTTATCAACAAAATTGCCTGTAAAGCGGAAAACTTCTGAGGAGAGACAAAATGAACTACTTCAACAGGATGAGAAAAAAATTGAAGAATGGTGCTTGCAGGATAAAATAGTTGATTTCGACGAATTCAAGAACAAAATAAGAGACAAAGTGCCAAAGGTCTGGATGCTAATTCCAGATTGTGAAATTTTTCTAGGAAAAGTCGACTTGTCTGAAGCCCCTAGTTTCAGTGTATCTCTGAAGATCTCTTCTAATTTTGTGGTTGCAGTTTGGAAAAACAACTTACCTCTACCAAAATCTAAGCTAAATTGGCTTCTTGGTTCTGAGTTGAAATGTGATTTGTGGTCCAAGTATGATTCCTTGATTAGCTTTCTGAATGGCTTAGAGAATGAACTCAATGTAGACATAAAACTACATAGTATACTGAAAGCAATTACTGAAGTATTAGAAGAGTGTGAAGATGTCTCTAATAAAGAAACTCTTCTATTCCTTCGAGATCAACTGGATTTATGTTTGAAGTCCTCCCCTCGTTATCAGTCAGATATTCTTTTATGGGCTGCTCAATTTTATTTTAGTCATCCGGCGGCATATAAGCTTGTGCGTAATAGTTCAAAACTTGTTTTACCTCATTATCTAAAGACTTTAATACAGAACCTTGGTCCATTGGAAAGTGGAGTTCATTGATTGATTGATGTAAATTTTTGGCGCAATAGCCATGGTTTGGCTATACCGCGCCCAAACCTAGGTAAAAATTACTGTAGCTTTGTTAAAATCAGAACAATTAGGCTGAAATGAGCAACTTGTTCAAATTCTTGTTGGGATTATATTTAGAACAAAAAAGTTTGCTCCTTTCTGATAGGGAAAAAATTGTAATTTTAATGATGGATGAAATTTATGTTAAACCTGGTGTTACTTATAACGGCGGGAAAATTGATGGATTGGCCACCAATGTAAATAATGCCGAAGCATCAACACTCCAAGCATTTCTAATTTCCTCTGTATTTACAAAAAATAAAGATAATGTTGGTTTGTATCCCATCAAAAATCAAAATGCAGACCAGCTTTTTGATGCTTTAATGCATGTTTTAAAAGTACTTAAAAATGCTGGCTATACTGTTCTATCTGTAATAGCTGATAACAATCGTGTAAATCGCAAAACCTATGAAACGTTGTGTGGTGGAATTCTAAAGCCCAGCATTGAAAATCCAATATCTCCAGGTGAACAAATATTCTTGCTTTTTGATACTGTACATCTTTTGAAAAGTATACGTAATAATTGGCTTAACAATAATGTAACAAATCAAACCTTTTACATTCCCCCAATGAAAAGTTTGATTCTTGAATTGAAACTGTCCCCTGATATTTCCTTGGTAAATCAACTTTATGCCAGTATAACTCATTTAAAGGCTTTGTACAAAGAGGAATCAAATAGCATAATAAAGTTGGCTCCAAGTCTTACACAAAAATCACTATATCCTAATCGATTAGAGCGGCAAAATGTTTCATTGGCTTTGAAANATTGGTAAAACAATCAAAAACTAAAGCTAACTGAAAACGAAACTAAATTTGACAGTTATTTTGGTAGACGAAAAAAGGGGCGTGGCTTAACAAAAATCATCATAACTTCATAAATTTTTAACCGATTCAAAAAATTTTTTTTGCAATATAATCAGGCTAACTTTTACTATTTAAATATGCAAAAATCAAAAAAAAACTATATTTTGTGCAAAATCTTCGATTTTGAAAGCCCTGTGTCACCTTAATGGATGTTTTAAAAGTACTTAAAAATGCTGGCTATACTGTTCTATGTGTAATAGCTGATAACAATCGTGTAAATCGCAAAACCTATGAAAAGTTGTGTGGTAGAATTCTAAAGCCCAGCATTGAAAATCCAGTATCTCCAGGTGAACAAATATTCTTGCTTTTTGATACTGTACATCTTTTGAAAAGTATACATAATAATTGGCTTAACAATAATATAACAAATCAAACCTTTTACATTCGCCCAATGAAAAGTTTGATTCTTGAATTGAAACTGTCCCCTGATATTTCCTTGGTAAATCAACTTTATGCCAGTATAACTCATTTAAAGGCCTTGTACAAAGAGGAATCAAATAGCATAATAAAGTTGGCTCCAAGTCTTACACAAAAATCACTATATCCTAATCGATTAGAGCGGCAAAATGTTTCATTGGCTTTGAAACTGTTTGATGAAAAGAACATTGCTGCTCTAGATACTATGAGAAGTTCGCTTGGGAAGGATGTAATTGGCACTTCACTTTTCATTAACATTATATCAAAATGGCGGAGAATTGTTAAAGTAAAGACGCCTTTTAAAGGCAAACATAAGCGGGATATGTATTCTGACCCGATAAGCAGTTTGAATTCGCCTAATGTCGACTATTTAGAAACATTTATCCAGTGGCTGGAGGAATGGGATACACTCCCTAGCCCCTCCTTCGTAAAACCTAATTCAAGGAGCGGAAAACTATCCAAAGAGACTTTTGTTGCCTTGAAACGTACTACTAAAACCATGCTGGCATTATGTGCCTATTTGTTCAGAAACGTTGTTCCTTCACCAACCAACATTCTCCTCGGTAAATTTCAAACTGATGATTTAGAGGCTAGGTTTGGCCAATACCGTACGATGTGCGGAGGTAACTATCACGTATCTGTGACGCAAGTACTTGAATTAGAAAGAAAACTTAAACTTCTGAGTTTAATGCAATTAAAATCTGCCAAAGAAGGCAATTTTAAAATTAAAGAATTTTTAGACTCGTGTAAGGTGAATGACGGTGAAAATTTTCAACCAACAGAGTTTTTTTATGATATTTTGTTAACCTGTGATTTACACGATGTCTCGAAGGACAATTTGAAAGTCTTGATTTATATTGCAGGTTATGTGGCTAAAGTTGCAGCCGGTGATTGTAATGTTTGTAAAAGCCATCTTACGATTGAGGAGACACTCAACTGCGACATTGCTCTTGAAGCAAGGAAGTATTTATCTGCTCTGGATCGTGGTGGATTACTTTGGCCCAATGATTTTCTGCTAAATGTGTGCATGACAGTTTTGAAAATTTTTCAAACTTGTATTTCTTCTGGGTTTGAAGAAATATTTCTACGCTTAAAAAACCAGCGACAATTTATTTGTGAACTTTCCAAAGAAAAACTGGCTGATGAAGGCAGCCATTTGGATAATACAATTTGTAACTGTAGTAAAACTGAAAAATCTTTAATCTATTCATGTATAAATATAATAAGTAATATTTTGCTTAATAATTATGCTAAAATTCGTAATGATAATATTAGAAATGCAAATTTTAATGCATCAAAAGATAAAAGCAAAGTTACAGACAGAAAACTAATAGCTTTAAACCCGTAGGTATGTAATTTTAAGATTTATGTTTTTTTCTAATTTTAAAATGTTTAAGATTTACGTTTCTTTGCAATTGTGAAAACTTTCTGGTAGAATTAAATTTAAAAGTATCTGCATGCATACTAAGAATTAAGATTCTTTAGTGATTCTTATATTCATGTTATAATTATATTTTAATCACAATTACATAAAATTTTATGGTGATTACATTATATAACAATATTCATTAAATTTTAGTTGATCAACCAAAAAAATTTACTTCCAATAGATATTTATATAAATTGCAATTGATAGATATGTGAGTGATTTTCAAAAATAAAGTCGAAATTAACCTTTACTAGTGATTAGCATTTAAGTCAAAATGTCGGATCTGTTGCCTTAACTTATTATTAAATAACTTTTCTCTGAAATGCGTTAAAAGAATGACCGAGCAATATATTTTAAAACAATATCATAAGTAGGTTCACTGTCTATCATTTGCACCTTTTTGTAGTTTTAAGCCAAATATTTTATTTTTAACTAATATTTTTCTTACAAGGTAACCAACTTTACATGGTTTTGAAGAATTGATGCTTTTCTAAAATATGTCAATCCTAACAGTGTGTATATATATAAATAAGTATTATGTGTAAGTATGTTATAATTATGTTATAAATAAGTATAAGTATTATTTGTGTATTTATAGATATTTTTTATTAAGTGATAATTTCTTTAAAAAAAAGTGTTGAAACAACTATATATACATCTACATATAAATTATATGTATATATACATAAAACTTGTTTTTAAAATAAGCCAGTCCATTGGAAGTTTTACACTTAACAGCTTTGAAGTTAAGGAAAAAGTTGTTAAAACATAGTTCTATGATTTGTGAAAATTTAAATATAAATGTTTAAAGATTCTGGCATTGCTAAGTACAGTTACAAAGTTTTAAAATTGTTCAAAACTTGGTGTTGGAAAAGATTAAAAATTAACGAAAAAGTTGTAAAAACATATATTCTTCAGTTCAAGATAATACGATTTAGATATAAATTTTCATACTTCAGTAAATGCTGAGTATCTATTGTATTAATGAAAACTTTTACAACTAAAATTTACACTATGATGGTCCTTGGTAAATATTTTCTTCGTTGTTCAGTTTCACCTCCAAATTTAGTCTATGTAGTTCATTATTTCACTTTTTATATAAGTGCATTAGGTATTTAATTTTAAGCATTGAAATAATTTTTGCCTTCAAAAGTTAAATATAAATATCGATTGCTGGTGAACTCAAAAATAGCGTGAATTTTAAAAATCCACACAATATCTGCAAACTAAACAAATTATAAATTTTTGTCTATGTATTTAAAATTAATAAAATCTGCCTTATTGGAATTTTATTGTATAATTCTAAACAAAACTGAAAGCATTTTTAGTGGAGGCTTTGATGTGCTATTAATTTTTTACTTTAAATAAAATATAATTTTTGCTTGTAATAAAAAAAAAACATTATTTCTTTACTTGTTTTATGTGATGATTTTATTGTCTATTTTTTAAAATTATTTTATGATACCTTATTAAAATTTTATTGTTATAATTTTGGATAAAACAATGTTTTTAAGATATATACAATTTTAGTAAAGGATTTTTTTATTTAATGACAATAAAGCACTTTACTGAGACTGAAATGTAGTGTTCTTTTTTGAAGACTTTAATTAATGATTTTTGGGTACAATTGGTGGTTGAGTGGTGATTTTAGGATTGCTTATGTTTACATTATTAGTAGATTAGATTGAAATATTTTAACAAATAAATTTCAAAAGCAAAAATATTTTTGATATAATTATGTGTAATATATCAAATATATGTATAACATATAATAAAATTATGTGTTATAAGCAATTTTTTTTAATTAAAGTAATGCATTATTATGTTTATAATAAAGAAATTTAATTTTTATGAATTTCAATTCATAAAAATTAAGTGGTATATCTGCTAAATGCTGAATTAAATTTTTTTGATAATTGAAACACTGTTTCTTAACATTATTTTATAAATTCGTTTCAGCTGATAATTTTATTAAAATTGTATCAAATTAAAATGACGAAATCATTGAAAATAATAATAAAACTATTTGTAAATAAAAGTAAGCACATTTTCAATTATTCCTTAAAATGTTTCTTTTTTTGTCTTTCTAAAAATATGTTAAATTCTTTGAAAAAATACCTCCACAAATCAACAATCACCCACCGAGATTTAATTCTCTGCTAATGTTGAATTAAATTTTTTTGATAACTGAAACACTGTTTCTTAACATTATTTTATAAATTCTTTTCAGTAGCGTCTGATAATTTTATTAAAATTGTAGCAAATCAAAATAACAAAATCGTTGAAAATAATAATAATAAAACTATTTGTAAATAAAAGTAAGCACATTTTCAATCATCCTTTAAAAAATGTTTCATATTTTGCCTTGCTAAAAATATGTTAAATACTTTAAAAAATGCCCTCTCAAATCAGCAATCACTCACCGCGATTTAACAAAATGAAAAAACTCATAAATCGACAGACTCTATTCTTACGGAAGGAAGGGACCCGGCTATTGACGTCACAGTGAGATGATTACGGCTTGTTCCCCTACTCTAGGAGGCTTTGGTTCATCTCATAAACTGTGGATGGATGGGTCATTTAAAATTGTACCCTGGTTGTTATTGTAATTGTACAACTGTACACTATCCATTCACGGTTTATGGGTGAAATCTTTCCTCTTGTGTACTGTCTCTTGCAAGACAAGAAGAAAGAAACATATACAAGAGTGTTTCGAACCATAAAATGTGCAGGGAACAATCCAGAACTGGCATTCAATCCAACAATCTGTATTTTGGATTTTGAAATTGCTGCAATGAGAGCCCTGGAAGAAGAGTTCCCCAACACTTCGGTGAAAGGCTGCTTCTTCCATTTTGGACAAAGTATAAGGAGAAAGGTAAATAGAATTATTTATAAAATTCAATTTCATGAACATATATTTTTTTAAAATTCTGTATGTATATATTTTAGTTTGCACAGTATTTCTCAGATGATATAAAGTTGAAAGATAAAAGAAATAGACTATTATTTAAGCATAAGATTCAATTTTAAAAGATTTCTATTTAGCTGCGGTATCATACATTTAAACTACAATGCACAAATTTGTTACATTTCAAAACACTATTTTAAAAATTTGTTCAGCATATTCCATAAAAAATGTGTCTTATTTAGGAATCTCTCATAAAACTTTTATCAGAACTTAAGAATCTAGCCATATCGCCTGCACTTTTATAAGTAATAGTGGACAAGTTACGCTAAAATTAATTTTTTTTAAATATTAAGACATTGATTTTGCTACCGTCTGAAAAGATTTCTGAAACTACGGAAATTCCGTAGCAGTTGGAGGGTATGTATCTCGTACATCAATTGCGCCTTGACTAGAGAAGCCTTCAATTATTTCAGAGGGAGAGGTTGGGAGAAATTGTAGTGTTTTTTCTGTTATAACGCCTTTTGATATGTTTAATGTCTTATGGGCTGTTATAGTAATAGGAACGTTGCCAAGATTACTCGACCTATTTGAGATTCTAGAGACTTTTGTACGAGAAATGGTGATAAAGAGGAAAGTTTCTTTGCTGTTGAGCTAAATATCAGCCCATGCAGCATGAAAGGGCAAAAAAACGCTAAAAATACGTTCGTTCGCTATATGGTTTTTGACTACACGTTAAAATTACGTCAATTTCAAGTGATTATTTTCATCATTTCTTCATTCGTTAAAACGTATACGTTAAAATAAGGTATTTTAACGTTATCATTTTTCACTTTAAATATTTCGTTAAAAATACGTTATTTTAACGTATACATTTTACCCATTTTTCGAACGTTTTTTTGCATAGTTATATTTACTTTAATTTTTTGGGATTATAAGCGTAAATTTAATGGTAAAAATGTTTCTAAAAAAAGGATGTGAGTGCCCAAGAAGGAAATTGTTTTACGTCTCTTTTAAATTTGAATACATTGAACAGAGTGGATTTTTATTACAATTTATATTCTATTTTTAAATGCTTATAATTATTTTTGTTTATTTAAACTGGGGATAAATATTTGCTTGTTTATAATATTGAGTCTGCTCATTGTCAGTAACTGACAAGGAAACTATGAGAAATTAAAAGAATTATTGAAATTAAAGTGATAGATTTGATACAGTTAAATAAGACATATTAAACAGTGCGTGTTAATTTATGTGTTTGCTATTTCAGATCACCCTCTTTGATGCTGAAATATTTGGAAAATTTTTGCTGGATATACTCTGCTCTGAAAGATGGCGAGTTTTGATCCTGTTGCAGCAAGATTCGTAAAATTCTTCTCCGGCATTACCATGTTTGTTCCTTTCTTTGGATCTAAGCGACAAGGTATCTGTACTGATAAAGTTCATTTACAGTTTCTTTTTTTTATTAATCTTTGTGCCAATAGGTGGCAGCATGAGTCTTAAAATTTATACTAATGACAGTGAAAATAAACCATTTTTCTAAGCTTTTAATATTTTTATATAAATGATATAATTAAGTTTTATTGTTCAATATTATAATTTTAGCTAAGAATAGATATAATGAAAACCTTTAATTTTATATATTTCACTTTTTGGTCGTAAATTTAATTTGTACTTTTTGTAATACTGTATGGTGGCAACACACTGGGTTAGGTGATAAAAATTCATGTTTTTGGGAAATTCTGTTGATGTTCACGAGATGTGGAGGTGGTTGTTACTGTTAGAAGGTTGATTATCCCAATGGTAGAGAGAAAGGGAGTTGATAAACTCTTTCATGAGTTGGGAAATCCGTTGCTTTATTGTAAGGCATAGATATCTCTTTTTATGCGATGGAAGTGAATATCCTGAATGTGTGCACCATGATTTAGCGGTGTGATGAGAAAAACACACGTGTAGTTGCCACACGTGGGCTGGCATTATAGTGGTAGTATTTAATCTACCAAACCTGATGGCT